TTTTCCGAAGGAAACTGGTATCGGGGCTCACAGAGGGCAGGCATGGAAAAATGTCCCAATGCCCTGAAAATGGGAGTTTTTTTTCTTAGTAGCCGCTTCCCCACCCTCTTAACGCGGTCCTACAGCACCACCTACTGCCTGAAGCTGTCCACTGCAGTGACCCAAAGACAGGCTCTTCTCGCTGGGCCTGCCGTGGGCACCGGCCTGCCCCCATCACGGGGCCTTGGCGTTCTGTCAGACACACACTATGTCACCGGACACCGACGTCAGGCGGGCCACTCCGGACGTGGATCCAGACATCTGCGTGGGCAAGAGGGCACCTCTGGGATGAAGGAAACGTGCGCTAACTGCACTCATCTGTCACAACACATCACTCTGTACATTTAAAATGGGTGAGTTTTACTGTATGTACATTATACCACAATAAATCCAGCTTGAAAACACAAATCCCAGGAAAAAACTGTATAAGAAAGTCATAGACTCAATTCGAAATAAACTAGACCAACACAGAGCTCTCAAGAAAAATGAAGGAATGAATGTATATTCCAAAAGCAGTATGAAAAAGCTGTAAAAGACTTTAGTTTCATACTGAAAGTAAAGAAAGCAGGTGGTCCTCTCTCAATGAGAAAATAAAGGCTTAGCACTAATACTCGCTGACACAGGTCAAGGCGATTCATGCTCCTTGTCACCGTGGCCGCTGTCACTGCACAGGCGAGAGGACTGGCAGCTGGCCCACTACAGGACGCTCGCAGGGACGGCCAGGTCTGCAGCCGTTCTCACCCTCGGCCCCAGCGCCCGGGCATCGCGAGGCGGCAGGAGGGGATAAAAGCGAAGCAAAAGGCATGATCCAATGACAACGAAAACCAAATGCGGTGACTCGTGGCCATCGGAGGGTGGTAGAAGGGAAGTTGGGCTGATGTCTTCCTTTGCCCGCAGGGAAGTCCCAGGGTGGGACATGGAAGAGGAACTGCGATCGCATGCGTTTCACTCGGTTCTGTGAACATTTGCAGATCATAATAGACTGCACAAATGCCGTTTGTGGATCTGAGACTGACTGAACTGTGGGTATAGAATAAAATGAAGTTTCCTACTTCAATAATGCGAAAAGAAACAGAAAAGCAAACCTGGCAGAAGCTGACCAGTACAGGATGGGAAGAGGTGACAAGCGTGGTAGTGTAAGCGCTTCTACATGTTCAACGGGGGGCAGGGGGGAGCCAGATGTCTGAGGTCCAGACAACAAGGACAAGTAGGCAGCACGAAAAGTTCTGAGATGACCAGCAGAGGAACGAGGCTGCCCATCCTGGCTGGCTAACCCAGTGATCCTCCTCCTTTATGACTACAGCTGAATGCCCTACACAGTTCTGGCCAATGAGATATAAGTAAAAATATGCTGGAGGCTTCTTGAATGCACCAATAGAAAGGACAAACATGGGCTGTACTGCCTGTTCCTTCCCACTTGTTCCTGCCTTGAATGTAGATGTGAAGACTGGAGCTGTGGCAGCAACATTGCAACCATGAGGGAAAAGTGCAGTTCAGAAAAGTGCAGACACTGGCCCAGACTCCTAATGTGGTTGTGCTCTAATTTAACACTAGTAAAAATCTACTTGTGCATTACCTATAATGAAACAAATAAATAAATCCCCAATTGTTTAAGCCACTGTAGGTCATGTTTTCCATTACTTTCAGCCAAAAGCACTCCCAACTGACACAGGAGCAGATGGGAAGGCAGAAGAAGGATAAATGAGCTAAATCCTCCTCTATGTGAACTGAAAGTCAACAGATAATGCCTAAAACTTATAAATCAAAAAAGAGCAAGTATATTATTTAGAAATGAGAAGTATGCCAGGGGTTGCCACCTGTGAACCAACATCCATTCCTCCCTTCTTTGGTGAGGCAGAGCACCCACGTTTCCAGTCACCTAACTGCCATGGTCACCCGACTAAAGGCAAGTCCGCTGGGATGAAAATACAAGTGTCACATGACGGCTCCTGGGAACCTTCTCAAGAATAGCAATCACGTGGCTTTGTGATACTTTCTCTGGCACACATTGCAGGTCGAACACCGGGACAGAAAGAGCACCGGGAGCTGACAGCTAGAACGCCACTCCATCCCTGTCTGCCTGTGAGGGGCAGCCTCTGCTCTCCCCGAGGCTGTGCCTCTGACACCTGCAGCCAGTGCCAACGCAGGACAATCCAGAAACACGAAGAGCCACAATCCTTTAAGACAAATCAGTGCAGCCTCTAAGGGAGGTGAGGACTTTGGACCATTGCTTTTTATCAAAGGCCCTTCTAAATTATGGTATTTGTCTGACTTTGAAGGCATCACTTTGATAAAAATTAAAACAAAACACAGGTCTGGTCTCTCCCCTCACCCCCACATGCATCCACCCAAGGCCCCTCCCGCCACGCCCCCTCCCACAGCCACAGCCTCTCTGGCCCACCAGGCTACTGCTGCTGTCTGCTGCCCCTGCTCCGCAGCCCCTCCTGCCCCGTGCTCCCCTCCCCCTGCGACCGCCTGGGTGACACAAGCTCCCCTCTCAAGGCTGGGCTCCCCCTCACCCCATGAAGTTCCCCACCCCTGCCTCCAGGACAGGCCACCTCTCTCCCCACCGCTGTCACAGCACCAGCTGACACCACGACCCTAAGCCCACCAGACTGTCCGTGTTGAGCCCAAAGACCATGTCTGCCTGGGAAATGCCAGTGGAAGAAGAGAACCCTGCCCCTTCCTCTAGCAGCTTCTGGAATGGGGCCCATGGATCTCTCGCCACAATGTGAGGGCGTGGTGGAGAGGCCACACTGAATGCCCTCGCCCACGTCTGCCAGTCATCTGAGCTGTAACACCAGGCAGGTGTGCCTGTAGCCAGCGGTGGTGCAGGTCTGGTGCTGGGCACAGCTGGGCTGGGGTGATGGTGTAGTCAGGGCCATCTTCCAGAACTCTCTACCGCACGCCAGGAGCGTGGGAGCTGTCCACAAGAGGGCACTACTGCGTTCCCACAAGCCCCTGCTGCAGAGGGGGCCTTTGGAGAAACTGGAAAGCAGCAAGGGCGGGAGGATGCCCGCCTCCCTGCGTCCACGAACCAGTCTCGTTGTTTTTCACACATCAGCCTGAAGGTTTCTGCTCCCGTTATTTTATTTTTAGTCATGACCGGACACAAAACAGCTAGAAGAAAATGACCAATAGGCTCCTAAGAACAACATATGTATGATTTGCACCCAACACTGTAGAGGTGACGGAGTTTCTGTGCTCCCTGTTGTTCCTTGCCAACTAGTTTCCCCGGCCCGCGGCCACCAGCGGGCCCCCCCGCGCCCTTACACCTGCTGCCACGCAGGGGTCTGGGGAAGAGGAGGCAGGCCAGGCCCGCGCCTCCTCATGGCGTCGGGGTCCCTCCCACGTCCTCGCTCCAATGCCGCCCCCTCGGAGGGCCGCCATCCCTCCTCTGCTGATCTCTCTCATGGGCGACCTCGCCTGGTGGTGACAGTTTGGCTGTTCTCTGTCCCACCAGCTGCTCTGTCCATCTGGTCCCGAGGCCTGGGTCGGTCCTGCCCACAGGTGCTCAGCACATGTGTCAGGCAAAGCGAGAAGTGGGTCCAGGGTACAGCACAGGCCTTTCCTGAACATTGCCCCAGGCTCTGTGAACTGCGGGTCCTAAAGTAACAGACTCCGAAGCTCTGAACCCGCTTTGGGAGACGTGCCTCCGCCTACCAGCAGCACCCCCATCACTTTCCCTGAATCGGCACGTCAGCAGCTCGACGTGCCCCCCGCCCCCATCTCAGCCTGGGCAGAGGCCTCCAGCTGGGCAGAAGGAGTGTTCGGGGCCCACGCTGGAAAGACAGGGGCCCCCCACGTACACAGAACACACCAGGAGACTGTGCCACCTGCTCCGCGGTCCTTACCTGGGCACCGGCGCAGGGCAAATAAAAGGAGGCCGGAGCAGGACCACAGGGGCCCTGGCGCGGACCGCCCTGCCAAGAGCCCTCCGCCCGCTGCCCTCTCAGCGGCCCTGCTGTCGGCGCGGGTTCAGGAGGAGACGTGACTCATAATGTCCCAACTGCAGCCCGCGTCTTGGCTTTCTCAGCACGGGCTTCCTTTGGCCTGATTATTTCTTCTATGGCTTTAAGGACAATTTATTTGTGTAAAAGAATATGAACACTTCATTTCTCTAATGCATGTTTACACTGGATAAAAGTACTTGCTCTTCCACGTCACTAATGTGACCGTCCACACCCGAGGCCTGTTACTCGCAGGTGGTCACACTTCAGTCAGCAGCGCGAAACACAATGTCCCCTTCCGACCCCATGCCAGCCCTGGGATCCTACCTTTCAGCGAATAAAGTCACAGAAAAGCTGCTTTCATGTGGCAGATGAGGCTGCAAGGGGATTTGTGGCTGAAAATCAGCTCCACTCTGGGCACAAGCCATGGACAAAGCAACCGCAAAGGCGCCCCTCACAGCCTCGCTGCCTGGGTGCCAAAGACAGAGCGTTAGCTGAGGGCCAAGCCAACTTCTTTTACAGGTCTCCCTGGGAACCAGTTCCCCCACATTCCTGACACTTACAGACTCAGAAATGACCGGCGGCGGGGCCTTTCCAGGCACACACTCAGTGGTCAGATGTGGGCGCAGCTTTGCTCCCCAAAGACCTGTCTCAGCTTCTCTCAAAAGCGGATGCTGAATCACATAACAGCCACCAAAAATAAGTAAAGAAACTTCTAATCATCTCAAAGGAAATGATTTATGGTAAAAGGCTGGAAGGAGGCACCAACCCTCCCACGATGACCTGAGACCAGAGGCAGCCCCCGGCTGCAGAGCTGCCGGAGGGTCGCACAGCTCCTGCCTGCAGGGCGCCTGGGGACTTGTGGGCGATCTCAGAGGAATCCACAGCAACAGTAACCTCTGCTGGGGGAGACTCGATAAAACTCACTTTGGAGGGCATGATAGGCTTAAATCAAACAGAATTCATTTTTCACCAGGCAAATGTTAGCAATGTTTACAGGTTCTAGCCTACCTTGGAATCAGTTCAGTTCCTGTGCCTGCTCTGATCTGAGGGCCAGGCCTCTGTCCGTGTGTGTGGGGCTGAGATCATCAGAACGTACACTTGGCCAGTGCGTTTCGTCAGCTGCTTCTCAAGGTCTCCACGCCCAACTTGAAAGACTTCACTCTGTGTAATAAAAAGATTAAATTATTTATATTAATTTAACTCAGTATTAGATGCTTTTCACCCTTTCAGATGTGAACTCGAATAATAAATAATTAAAAGTCTTCTTCCTACAAGTTTAAGTTCTTTTTAATGTATTCTTATGATTTGTTTAAAGCTGACACACGCTAATGGATCATGTCTTTATCCCTCCTGCCAGGACAGGCAGATGCACAGGGAATACGCACAATCCATTTCTGCTCCCAACACACGAGAGCCAACAGGCACCAAGCACAGGCCAAGGAATGTGGCCTCAGGCCAGGCCTGTGTGAGCTTCCCTTCTGCAAGGTGAGCATGTGTGTTAGCGCGGACAGAACCGCACAGGCCCAGGCTCCTCCCCACCCCTGCTGTCCGGGCTGAGGAGCCCCGGGCCACCTGTGCACAGGCATGGGGCTGTGAAAGGACGTCTGAACGTCATTCCCTCTCTGCACAAGGATGGTTTCAACCAGCAAGTCACTGAAGAGAGCAATCCCACATGCTCATATAGTTCCAAAACCTGTATAATATCAATATTTTTCTTGTTGATAAACAAACCACCATCCAAATGAAGGGAAGTCCTCGGGCAGAGCTGTACGCTAACCCCCACAGCAGGAACCAGAGGGTCCCTGAGTGATCTGGGAGACTGAGGCTGGAGTGCAGACAAGGTGCGTCTGAGTGTGCAGGAGCCCGTCCTGTGCAGTCAGCAGGACGTTCCCCCAGGCCACCGGAGGCCCTGTCACAGCCACTGGTACTCATGGGTGAGAACTGACCAGTTTCAAGGCCCTCGCACATCTCCCAGTTGTGACGGCTCAGATTCCCCTGTGCTGCATGTTGGGGCTCTGCTAGGACCACCCCAGTAGTGACAGGACCAAGGAGTTGCTATACGATTAACCACATGACTGCTGACCAGGGCCACCTGCCAGCCATCTGCGGTTGACAAGAGGAGAGCTAACACTCCGCAGGTGCAGAGGGTGACAAGAGCGTGAGAAAAGTCAGGACAGCGGAGGCTTTATCTTTCCTGCTTAAGAGAATCAGAGGGAAACTGAGGAGGAAGTGGCACAGGAGCTGTGGCCTGGGGACAGGAAGCAAGTCAGTAAACAGGCTGAGAGCCACGATCCTGCCTCCTCAACTTGCCTGGATCCACCAGGTGAAATGAGCAGACGTGGGGCCACCTAAAAACCTGAAAGCGGGGAAGCAGAGGGATGGAATGGCGAAGAGAAAGCCGAGCAGCTGGGCAGCTCTGTGCCCTCCAGCTCCTGACGCACTCAGGTGGGCAACCCAGCCCCACGCCTTTCCGGAGCCTTCTTCTGCTGAATGCGCCCAGGCTTAGGACATCCCTACCCCCAAAAATAGCAATGACCCCCAACTTAGTCAAGCTGGAGGGGCTTCTACAATAGGTTCCTATCCAACTGGCTCTTGACACGAGGAAATTCAAATGCCATAGCTATGCTGGTTAAAATAGGGGCTGTGCAAGGCTGAACGTGCCTAGCACCAATAGCAAGTACAGAACTAGTTGTGCTAAAATAAATATATCACTCAGCATTGGATGGATTGGCTATGCCAGTAACAATCATATTGATTAAATGAAGTAATTGTGTTCCCTTTTAAATGATATTTATCATTATAATTTAATTAGATTGAAAATTAAGGCTTCACTCTGCCAAAAAATAAGTACTCTCATATTCTACCTCGCAGCTGCATAAATCCATTACATGAGTGTACAGTTAAACAAAGATTTCAAAGGAGCAGATTCTCTGATGTTTAGCGAAACCAATTATTCCAAGATACAAAGGCTTGATAGGCTCAAGACAAGTGAACGACAGGTAAATAATCAATGGATCGAAGGAAGCTAAGACAAAGAAACCTTCTTCCTATTCTCATAGTGGCTTCTACTTTAAGCGCCTAGTTAGTCCTGAGCACAGGCACCTACCACAGAAGGATGGACGCCAGTGGGCACCAGCGAGGGGATGCGAGAGGGGCCAGGGTTACTGAGCCGGGGGCACAGGAAGGTAGGGAGATGCCCTTGGCTGAGCTGCTGGAGAGAGGGAGGGTGGAAGGCCTCTCTGCTAAGGCGCCTTGGACAAACTTTGCGTAAGAAAGAAAATCCAGTCTGTTTTCAGAAAGGCCGCTCTGACGGCTAGAGGGCTGGGGCCAGGGGCAGGGCAGACGTCTGGGGGCAGCGGCGTGGCAGAGCCTGGCAGCATTGGACATGTCTCGGAGGTGTGACGGGCAGAACCTGGCAGCTAACAGTCCAGACGGAGAAAGGAAACGAAGCCTGGGTGGCTCCAAGGATCCTGGCTCCGTGCGGGGGGACGACGGAATCTGACCAACGTGAGAAAACCAAAAGAGGAAATTGCAGAAGAGGGTGGTTTTCAGCTGTCCTGACTGGGAAGGCCTCCAAAGCACCTTAGCTGTCATCACTGCTACTTCAACTTCAACAATGACAGCAGCTTCCCTGGCTAACTGAAGGGACAACTGAGAGAAGTCAGCAGCGGGCGCTGAGATCCTAACTGTGCAGAGAGAAAAAGCTGCCGACCTGGAATTCTGGACCCAACAAAAGTCTCTTTGCAATGACAACAAATAAGATGATTTCAAACAAATAACAGCAACAGACCCTCACTAGGAGAAATCCTAAAAGATGCAAAAGGAAAGTAATCTTGGAGAATCGGAACAAAAGAGAAGGAAGGTAAGAGCAAGTGGGCCAGGGGAACGCAGCTCACAGATGGTACAGAGAGGAACACTTCAGAACCCCTCTCCTGGGGCCAGGACCACCTGGAGAGGAAGCCTGCCAAACGGTGTTGCAGGGATTAAAGTTAGTGGTCAGCGTCTCTTATGAGCAGAGACATAAAAACTTAAATCTAATGATATATAAAAGATAGTACATCACAGCCAAGTTAAATATGTATATACTGAGATTGCACAGTTGGCTGAATATTTGGAAATAAATCAATGCACCGTATCAACAGGGGCATTTCCATTCAAGAGTGCTTTACCTTAGACTCCTCAATAATTCAAGTTGCTATTTTCCCTAAATCTCCATTTGTACGATGAAACTGACACTCTTCTTTTAAAAAAAAAAAATACATTCAACCTTTGGGAGATAACTGAAAATGGGGGCAGAATAACTGAAAAATGAAGGCGCTGAGAGGATGAAAACAAATGTTTTTGCCAATCACAGAAATAAAGACCAAGTGCATAAGTCGCGAGCCCTTCCTTCCCTTGGGGGAAGGAAAGGCAGTCGAGTGCAGAAATGCACCAGTGCGTGGGGGCAACCGGGGATGGTGTCCTTAGAAGGTTCTAGTATGTCCCTCATGATGTTTCCATGAGTAGAGCCAAAGGATTCTGAGTTTGTTGTCCGCACATGGGAAGGCCACGTGGTGAGCGCCACGAGGACAGAAACAGCTGCTGCCCAGCTGAACCCGGAGCAGGTGTTTATCGAGGGGTCGCAAAGTCCATGGAAACAGTAAAATTATATACAAAACGGTGTTGATACACCCAGGGCATCTTTTTAGTGAAAATGCAACAGCTTTAATCAGATGCTCAGAAAAGCCTTTGGCCTGCGCACAGGTTTAGCAGAGAAGTCCAAAGTCAGCCCCCCCCCCCGCCCAGGGCTGTGACATAACCCCAAACCAGTCCTTTCCCTGGCGCCTAACCAACCCAATTTCTCCGCCTTTCTTTTTCCAATGCAGCTATGACTAGTCAATGGTGACCTATAAAGTGAATCATTAAAGGGCACTAAAATTCAGAATTCATAGCCTAAAGCTGGGGTGTTACTAGAGTTGACAGAGGTCTAAGTCAATCCCAAGAAATGTGGCTTCCACGGACACCAGCAGAGTTAGCTCCATGGCACCCTCGTATGGAGGGGCCACGTGCCCACGGCTTCCAAAAGGGCAGTTCCTTATCAACGATCCCTTTTGTTTATCATGGGTTTCAGCTGCCACCACTCTTACTTGTATAATTACATTAGTTTTGTTTCATCATTTGACACTAGTTTAATATGGGCTGCTTGTGTGCACAGTAATGAAAATTTCATCTTTTTTTGAACCATAGTTTTTCAATAAGTAAACTTAACAGTATCATAAATCATCTCCAACCTTATCGCAAAACAGATAAACAGAACCGCCTCCCCCTGCCAAAGTTTCCTTGAGGCACTGACATTTCATTTATTGGCAATGAGCTGGCTCAGAGAATGTGTAATTTAACTAACTTGCAACACATTGTCATGGGAAGTGTAACAAAGTTACCCACGCTCTTTCTGAGTTCACAGAGCACTCTGACATACTAGAAAATGAAGTTCCCTGAGGACTTGACACATGCTGCTGACAACTTCGCTGTAACTGGCTCAATTAATTTATTCTCAATTGTTTGATAATGTTGAGCAATGTTTTCACTGGAAAGAAAGAACCACATGGTTAGAAATGTTCAAGGTACAGAATCCTGTGGCTAAGAGTGAGCTAAAAAGGCATTTAATTGAAAATGGTGATGAAGTACATATCCTCATTCTTTTCTTCCCAAGACCCCATCCAAGTGGCAGAAAAGGTCATTTTTGGCAATGAACGAATGACAACAGTGCTGAAAACTCACAAAGGGGCCTGAGCAGCAAACAAGGGCGCTGGCCTGAGTGGGAGAGGCTTAAAGCGGACGACGCCAGGGTAACCCAGGGCGACCCGAAGGAAGAGCGGGGGAACAGCAGTGCAGGGCGTGGCGGGCAGGGGTCACTGCCGGAGCCCAGGCCGCGGCAGGACTTTTCCCAGGCTGGGGCCTGAGAACAGACTCTCCGCGGCGGTCTGGGGGGACCCCAGCATGGGCGCTTGGGCCTGGAGGAGAAGCATGTGGGGCACAGGGTAATGCCTGATCAGGCCACTGGCCACGGGAAGAAGCGGGCAAAGCAGAGACGGACCCGAGAGAGAGCAGGATAAAGCGGGTGTGCGGCTTCTCCTTAGCAATGGAGACTCCGGAAGACAAGAGAAAATGCTCCCTGAGTA